GGCCGCCGGGAGATTCCGGCGGGGCTTTGTGGTGTCCCAGCCCCTCCCTTTTCGCCCCACGTCGTGGGAGGAGTGCGAGTCCCTTGAGCCACGATTCTCAAAGTGGGGTCTGCGGGTGAACTCCGACCCCTTAGACTTTCTGAGCCGACCTCTGTGTCGTGGTCCGGGAATGTGCATTTTCGGCAAGTGTCCCTGATGGTTTTAATGCTGGTGGCCACAGGACCGCGCCCTGGGGACACTTCCCCAGAGGGTAGGGCACTTCGAACACAGCAGGGAGTCTGAGTGGGGTGCATTTGAGGATGGGGCCCCGTGATTGGCCTTGAAACAGATGGTCATGGTCCTCTGCCTTAGGGGTATCTCTTGAGTCTTTGAACTTGGGGTGCTACTTTGTTCCTATTGCCACCAACAGGGGTCTTCAGATGGACAGATGCTTAGTGACGTGCCCAGGTCAGGAGCCTTAGGGTGCAACAGTACTGAAGGAGGCAGTGAGGGGTGCAGCTGGAAGAACTTGGGAGTTGGCCCTGCTGACCTGGGTTGGGAGTGACTCCACCATTTAGGACAGCCGTTGTGTGGACTCTGCACATATCACTGTTTCTTTCTCCGGTGTCCTCACCTGTCAGTAGGGACAGTAATTCCTATCTAATAGGGCTTTTGTGTGAATTAAGTAATGTCTGCCACGTGTCTCCTACGGCTGCACACATAGCACTCAGTAAATGGGAATTGCTAAGGGTAATAGAGGCCCTGCCTTCCTGCAGCTTACAGTCCCCCAAACTAGGGATTAGTCAAGTGAGATAATATGTGGACAGGGGTACAAAGTGTATCTGGAGAACTCTGCAAGGATTCTAACTAGGGGGTGCTTGGGAAGGTCATGCAAGCAGTGAAGGTTTGCCTGCAGCTTTGAAGAACAGACAGAAATCCAGGGAGCTGATAACCAGGGCAGTGTGAACCCATCCATCCCAGGGCTCAGAGGTGGCTCTTTCACATGGATCATTGCGGGGCTGCTTCTGGGACTTGTAGGCAGTGTAGGAAGTCACACTGATAGGTGGATTTTGAAGGTTGAACTGTTGGCCCATAATAGTTTCTGTCCACTGATCATGTTTCGTACACATGGTATCCCTCAGACTCTAATGGCCTCCTTCCCTTATTTCACTGGAAATTGGCTAAATAGGAGCATCTATGAAAGGATCATAGTTGAGCACACTGAGTGAGTGACCACAGAGGTTGAGCCTATTGGCAGCTATTTTACACTTGCTCTGAAATGTGCAGATACATGGAGAGTAACTTTTTCGTCATGCTATTGTTTTAGGTTCCATAAAATGCCACGGTCACCTGTGGTTTCATCTGTCTCCAGAATAGATTAAGAAATCAGATCCTTTAAATTTCCCTAAAGCTCAGCCGTTTCAGAGGGAAGAAGCCAGATGAGTTAGAGGTGTCATTTGTTGTCCTTCTGTACCAGTATGGCTATTGGTGTACATGGAATTCTGATCTCAGTTGATAAATTATGTATTCCTTAGTTACCTGACTTAAGAATTACAATTACCATTACAATTACAATTAATAATTTCTGGCTCTTAGTGTTTCCTTAAATCTCCAGAGCCAATCTAAAGGCCCTCGCTATATACCTTCTGGTAAAATTTTGTATCGTTATAGATAATATTTATCACTTGTTGATTCCTTATTCTGAGCCAGACTGTTCTGTATGCTTCTTATATGTTCTATCAATTATTCCTCTGATAGTCCTTTGAAGTAGGCATCTTCCCTACCCCATCTTAGAGATGGGGAAACAGGCAGAGCAAGATAAGTATTTGCCCAAGGTCCCAAGTTGGTAATTGGTAGAGCTTAGTACCCCAATTCTATGCTACGTGCTGATCCCCTCTGCAAGTCTGCATAGCTCCCTTAGACTTAACTGTAGTTTAAAAAGATATGTGAATTTTGAAAATCATAAGCAGACCTCACCTTTACTTTATATGTAATAGACAGTGCATTGTCTTGTTTAAATCTTTAAACAGTCATTTCAGCAGCTCTGATTTGGTTGATAATAGTTTATTATTGTTTACAAATCTTCTGAGCCATAGTTTTCTGGCTTCTCAGCATATCTCAAACTTCTTTTGTATTAGGTAAAATCCTTCGATTCAGTATTGCCAGTGCTGAGGAATTTGTTTTAAATCATATTAAAATGTATTTATTATCTAATTGGTGTATTATTGGAAATGTCAGTGGTGATTGTCCTTTGTTTTTACAGAGGGGGACTGGGACTACCATTGTCTTGCAGTTTTTGAAAGTGTTTCAAAGCAAAAATTCAGGTGTCAGAGAGAGCGATGGAAGGTCCTAAGGCCGAAGAAGAGGTGTTAGATATTCTTCGACTGAACGTGGGAGGCTATATTTACACAGCCAGGCGTGAGTCCTTGTGCCGCTTTAAGGATTCGATGTTGGCATCCATGTTCAGCGGTCGTTTTCCTGTAAAAACAGATGAATCCGGTAAATATCTAAAGTCTGTAAGTGTGATTATGAATATTCATTAAAATAAGAAGCTAGTTTAAATTCCGTTTGATTTTTCTAATTACAACAGAATGTGTTAGCTTAGTATACCAATTACTGAGATCATTAGGACTGTATGGAGATTCATTAAGTACACGGAGAACTTAAATACCCATTTCCAGAATCTGTGATGCTGTTGCTAAAAGTTGACGAAAAAAGTGAATGTATGTAAAGGCCAATCATGACCTAATCATGGGGATTATATTTTGAAAGTTGTTACATTCATAAAACTCAATGGGGAAAGGTATTGTGGCTGATTAAATATATTAGCTTCTGTTTTCTTAAAGTTAAGAAATATATTTCTCTGGAGAATTCGAGTTAAACTTGCACCTGGTCCAGCTGCGGAGCCTCGTGTGGGCTGACGTGTATGCCTGAGGAAACGTCAGTGACGTTATACTGTCCATCACCCAGTGATAGAGGACTGAAAATTGGTGTTTTAGAAGAAACCGTAAAACACAAGGGTTAGAGTCCTGAGGCCGCTTTCCGGTTTAAGTGCTCCAGGGTTCATTGAATTTACTACTGGCTATAAAGAAACTTCAGCAATGCAAGTAATGTTTTTTTGCACATCTTAGGGGCTCGTGGAACCCACTCTTGCATCTGTGTTAGAAGAGAGGGCTTGAGAAGCTCTGAGCAGAAGGGGCTGGTAGTAACCCTGGGTCTTGAGAGATTGCTTTGTGAACTGAATGGCAGTTGAAAGAATGGGAAACTCATTGATGGCGGGTGCCCAGGACATGATGTCCAACAGGGTAGAAAGGTTGCTGGGGAGAAGGTGGAAAGCAGAGACTGAGTTGTTTCTTCAACCCCCAGGTTTTGCCTTCTTAATCCCTTCTTTTCTAAACTAATCAAAGGAGAAAAGGAAATATTGAGTAACCCCACACAGAAGTGTCTTTTAAAATTCTTCTGAATTGTCTAAGAAGAAGTCTTTTATCATAAAATAGTACCAGCATAGCATTTCTTTTTAAAAGTTTAATACACAGGGACTAACCTAGTAAGTCCAAATACACAGCACGCCCGGAGCTAGGAACCCTGGGTGTGTATGTCAGCAACACTACAAGTTAATTCGTGGGCTTGCTGACACACAAATGCTGGACGTAGTAGTGAGCACCCCACATGTCCTTATCAGGGAGGAACCCCATGCACATTTCCTGGCCCAGCTGGGAGGAGGTTAGGGGTACGCTTCCATTTCTACCGGCAGTCTGAGGTCTTCATGGCTTTCATGATGCCCATATTGGGAATATGGTCATTGCAGCTCAAATTCCAAATGGAGCCGAGTACATTTTCCGCCAGAGTAGTGAGAATACAAAGGATCGCCAAGTTTGACTAAACCTATTTGAACACTAGATATTAACTTTCTTGTGAGAAAGAAACATTTCTAACTATAGAGATCTTCAGTCTAATTTTAGTCTGACATGTTGAAGTTTTATTGATGGTCAATATGTATCTGTGCAGTCTTTTTTTTTGATTTTGTATCTACACAACCTACTCGATTTTTATTTTAAGTTTTTTCCAGTTTTATTATGTAGAATTATTATAGTTCGACTGTGCAGTCATTTTTGAACTGAATGTTTTCTAGGGGCTTGTGTTATTGACCGTGATGGACATCTGTTTAAATACCTGTTGGATTATCTTCATGGAGAGGTTCACATTCCCACAGACGAGCAAACTCGTGTGGCTCTGCAGGAGGAGGCAGATTACTTTGGCATCCCTTATCCGTACAGCCTGTCTGACCACTTGGCCAATGAGATGGAGACATATTCTTTAAGGTCAAATATAGAACTTAAAAAGGTCTTGGCATTTTCTTAAGTTTTAAAATATATATATGAGAATACATATTTATACATTTATTATTCACAAAGCAATGTGTTATTTTATGTAGCCCATGTTGTAGATAAACCAAAATGAGACTGTTCTCTTCTTACAATTTTTGAAACTGTGTTTCTTAATTGCTACTACTCATTTTTAAGGCCAAACTTCTATTCTAGGAAAGTGTACTACAATGCCACTCAAAGATTTTACAGAGTGTTTATTCCTCATTGAAGATTTAACACTTTTTGATGGCTTTTTAAAAAATAGAACTCTCCTGCTCTTGAATTTCTTTTTGAATTAAGAGCAGTACTGTAGTTTGTGAGGGTATAGTGGTATTAATTTGTTTACTGACGTGATATTTCATTTATTTATTTATTTTTAATGGAGGTACCGGTGACTGAACACAGGACCTTGTGTGTGCTAAGTATGTGCTCTACCACTGAGCTATAACCATCCACCCTGAGGTGATATTTTAAAAGGACGGTCACGATAAATGAAAGAGTATGTAAAATCTCTTACTTGATTTAGTGAGTGTAGCAGTTTGTTACTAAGTTAAAACATCAGTTTGAAGGGGGAGTGTACATAGCTCAAGTGGTAAAGTGCATGCTTAGCATGCACAAGATCCTGGGTTCAATCCCCAGTACTTCCATTAAAAAAATAAATAAACCTAATTACCTCCCCCCAAACAAATTTTTAAAAATTTTTTAAAAAACTCATCAGTTTGATTAATTCACCTTGAGATCAGTAAATCTTTCTTTAAGATTCTTCTATTTTAAATCACATTTTGAAGATCTTTGAATGACTTGAACAGCTTCATCTGTTTTTGTCTTATTGGTAAATATTTTATTTGCTACTAATTGGCATTTTGGGGCATCTAAAAAATAGTTTTCCTAGATAACTGTTAATAGTGAAAACTGTTCTGAATTGGTTTGAATTCTTTGATTTGGATGTCAGTGTTTAGGAGAGCAAGCTGATGGTATGGTTATCAGGAGCATGAAGAGACAGTTGATTTGGTTCCAGAGTCCTCTTTGGGAATTTGCATGGCCGTATAGGTTCTGTTAGTGGAGTTATTTATAAACTGAGTTGTCAGTCTTTTGGTGCTGTTGTACACATATGCAGAATGGGGCTAAAAAAGCCTTACTGGAAAGTTGGGGTGGGTTAACATTCATCTTTATAGTCTTTAATTCCTGGTTTGTATGCAGAAAGGACATAGCATGCGTACATTCATTCTGCCAGCAGATGCATTTATCTCAAATGTTTTTGGCATATAGGACACTGTTCTAGGGCACACAGAAATACGACATACAGTTTTTGCCCTTGAACAGTTTGTAATGCAGTTGAGAATTTTCATAAATGTGCAAGTGAAGTTTAAACCAATAGGGGAGTTAGGTAGCAATAGTAAATGAAAATGTAATCCATGTTAGGGTCCTCTTTTCCTTCACTGAGTCAGTAAATATTATGCCTCTCCTTTGGGTCAGGCACTTTTCTAGGCACTAAGGATGCAAAATGAAACAGACAAAAGTGCTTATCCTGAGAGCGCCCACAGCAACAATGCTGCTGCTCCCAGGGAAGGCCTGTGCCACCCCACGGGGTGAAGCCCTCTTGCTCTGTGCCCCTTAGCGCCTCATAGGCTCACCTGGTAGCACTTGTAACACTATGTGCTGATGTTTATTTAATGTCTGCCTTCTGCATCAGCTATAAACTCTAGGAGGGCTGGGGCCCTGTCTTCTGCTCATCATTCTGTCTGCCCAGACAGGGACCTTAGATAGTGCTCAGCACCTAGGTACTTAGTATTAGGATGAGGAATGAGTAGGTGGATAAAGGCCAAATGAGTTCAGACAATGTGCATTGAGTTCATATATTCATATCTTTCAGTGTAGAAGAACATGTTAATCTGGTTAATCCAGGATTGGATTTGGAGTTAAGAATAAGCATCAACCGTGGGGCTAGTTAGTAGAAAGTAAAAGGGACACTGAGTCAAGTAGGAAATTTGGGGGAAAACAAAGTTTATATAAAGATTTAAAAATGATGTTGGTAGTGAGTCCAAAGGAGAAGGAGAGATAATTTGTATGCAGAAAAGAACTCTCTAGATGAAAAGGTGTTGGGTTTTCGGGTGGTGATTTGCCCCCCACACAATAACCCAAATTCAACAATTGGCTTGGTTTTTAAAGGCACAAAAAGTAGGCTGAAATATATAATCTTTTTATTTCCCTTATGACCAACTGAAGTTGCAACTTCACATGAAAGTAACAGAACAAATTCAGTTTTACTTTACTCCAGAATTAAATTAAAATTTTATATATTTTTTTTGCTCCAGGCTTTAACAGACTTCTGTGATTCGTATGGTTTAGTTTGCAGTAAACCAACAGTTTGGGTTCTGCACTATCTCAGCACGTCTGGTGCGAGCTGTGAGAGTAGAATTATTGGGGTGTTTTCCACCAAAACCGATGGAACAGATGCCATTGATAAGCAGCTGGGAGGAAGAATTCACAGCAAAAGCATTTTTAAAAGGTATGTCCATATTCAAATACGAAAAGGGACCATAAAGACTTGGTCTCTTCTAAGAGGTGTCATTGAACGGAATGCGTGGTTGACTGGAAAAGACCATGAGCACTCTCAGCAGACAGATGAGCTTTGTAGCTGTCGAAATCGGCCTGCTTCCTGAGGACAGTATGATTAAGACCATTTCACGTATGTATAAGCCACAGGCCATCTCCCTGGTCTAGTACAGTGGTTCTCAACTGTAAGTGTTCATCAGTATTCCCTGAGGGGCTTTATAAAAAAAGAAATAAAAGAAAAGAAAGGCCACATGCCTGGGTGTCTCCCCTAGACCACAGTCCAGGGTCAGAAGCCTGGCCTAGTACTCAGCAGGCCCGCTGAGTGACCCACGACTGGCCTGTGCTTTGATGTCCTGGTCTGAGAAATGCTGAAAGACTTTTCATCTGGTCCCTCCCAGCTTTAAAATCCAATGCCTTGAACATGTTAAAATTCTTAGGGGTTATTCTCTTAATATTTTTCCTGTAATCTTATTTACACTGGTCAATTCACTGCAAAAAAATTTTTTTTAATTCTCTGGGAGACTGGATTGGTCACACATCAGTGACTAATGCATGACCACATGACCTTGCTTTTTAGATGATTAAATGTCATCATTTTCTAAATTCTTTACAGGCAGGGATGTTTCTGTTTAAGATATGTAAGTGCCTGGCATAGTGCTAAGAAAATTTTAGTCAAAGTTGAATCTTTTCTAACTTTACTGGAGTTGGGTGATCTTTTAGAAAAGGTATTTTAAAGATTTATTGATTTGTCTGCACAGTTTATATTGTGGAATTAACAAATGCTTTACCACAATAAAAGGAGATCAAATGTAGGTTAGTATATAAGTATAGTGTATTATACTCATGTAGTATATAGTGTGTGTGAGTGTGTGTGCTTAAGGATCAAAGAACACCAACTTAATACCTACATTTCTTTGCCTTAATTAACAAGCACTTACTGAGTGTCTGTTAGCTACAGCCCCCAACATGCACATTCATACCTAGGTAGTAAGTTTTCATTACCTTTTGTAATATTTCCAGAGAGGCTGGGAATAACGTTCAGTACATTTGGAGCTATTATTCAGTAGCAGAATTGAAGAAAATGATGGATGCCTTTGATGCCTGGGAAGGAAAAGGTATAGTACAATTTCTTTATTTCATGGCAGAAGGTAGATTTTTCCTTAGTAAGAGAAAGCAAGTTAAAATACTGCATTTCTTTTTTTTTTTAAGAAAGTAATTTGTTGGTGTGGGTCAAAGTATTTGTCACCTCATAGTAACACTGAGGCAGTTTACTTACAAATTTTTAAGCCCCATAAGTTTCTAGGTATTTTTAATAATTTATAATTCAGTAACCTAAAATACACTTCTGTTGGTTATGCTTATTTAGTTCAATTTGAAGAGTTTATGTAGCACCTACCATGTACCTAGCATTGTCCTAGGAAGTATACCTCTAAATTAAGCATAAAATATGTAATTTTTAAAAAAGAGAGCAAGAATGAACCCACAAACTTTTGGTCAACTAATCGACAAAGGAGGCAAGAATATACAATGGAATAAAGACAGTCTCTTCAGCAAATGGTGTTGGGAAAACTGGACAGCAGCATGTAAAGCAATGAAGCTAGAACACTCCCTTACACCATACATAAAAATAAACTCAAAATGGATCAAAGACTTAAACATAAGACAAGATACAATAAACCTCTGAGAAGAAAATATAAGCAAAACATTTTCTGACATACGTCTCAAAAATGTTCTCCTAGAACAATCTACTCAAGCAATAGAAATAAAAGCAAGAATAAACAAACGGGACCTAATGAAACTTGCAAGCTTCTGCACAGCAAAGGAAACCATAAGTAAAACAAAAAGACAACCTACGGAATGGGAGAAAATTTTTGCAAATGAAACCAACAGAGGCTTGATCTCCAGAATATATAAGCAGTTCATACGACTTAATAAGAAAAAACCAAAAAACCCAATCCAAAAATAGGCAGAAGACCTAAACAAGCGATTCTCCAAGGAAGACATACAAATGATCAATAGGCACATGAAAAAAATGCTCAATATCACTAATTATCAGAGAAATGCAAATCAAAACTACAATGAGGTATTACCTCACAGCAGTCAGAATGGCCATCATTCAAAAATCCACAAATGAAAAATGTTGGAAAGGCTGTGGAGAAAAGGGAACCCTCCTACACTGCTGGTGGGAATGCACTTTGGTGCAGCCACTGTGGACAACAGTATGGAGATTCCTCAAAAGACTAGGAATAGACTTACCATATGACCCAGGAATCCCACTCCTGGGCATATATCCAGAAGGAACCCTACTCCAAAATGACACCTGCACCCTAGTGTTCATAGCAGCACTATTTACAGTAGCCAAGACATGGAAACAGCCTAAATGTCCATCTACGGATGACTGGATAAAGAAGATGTGGTATATTTGTACAATGGAATACTATTCAGCCATTAAAACAGACAACATAACACTATTTGCAGCAACATGGAGAATGTCCTCCTGGAGAATGTCATTCTAAGTGAAGTAAGCTAGAAAGAGAAAGAAAAATACCATATGAGATCTCTCATATGTGGAATCTAAAAAAAACAAAAAACAAAAAACAAACAAAACATAAATACAAAACAGAAACAGACTCATAGACATAGAATACAAACTTGTGGTTGCCAAGGGGGAAGGGGGTGGGAAGGGATAGACTGGGATTTCAAAATGTGGAATAAATAAACAAGACTATACTGTATAGCACAGGGAAATATATACAAGATCTTATGGTAGCTCACAGAGAAAAAAATGTGACAATGAATATATATATGTTCATGTATAACTGAAAAATTGTGCTGAACACTGGAATTTGACACAACATTGTAAAATGATTATAAGTCAATAAAAAATGTTAAAAAAAAAAAAACAAGACAGAAAATGAAAATAATGCTGGGGGGAAGATGTCTAAAGAGCCATTAGAAAACAAAATAATCTTTGAATGCACACTTTGAAATTTGACCATTTTTACCAAGCTGCTTATGTGAGTGGATAATAATAATTCTGCTTAATATTCAGTGTGATCAATAGTTTACATTCAGTATCTCTTAGTCCTAAAGCAACCCTGTATGCTGTTTACCATTTTATTGATGAGGAAACGAAGTCTCAGAGAGGCCATGCCCTTGCTTAAAGATCACAGAGGTTAACTGTCCTATGCCTAAGTATTTTTTTTCTTAATTAACAAGCATGCATTGAGTGTCTGTTAGATGCAAGGACTAGAATAAGTCCTAAAATTGGGTCCAAAGATAAATATGACACATCTCAGTCCTCAAAAGACCTTAAAAACCTGGTAGGGACTGACATTGCAAGTCACAAAAGGTTAAACAAAAGGAGAGGAAGAGGCTTTTCAAAACTCCATCAGTGCTTCCTTCTTTTGGGGGGATGCTAGCTCCAACCCTTCTTTTTTTCCTTAGCTTTGCCCTCCTCACGTTTCCTTCTTTTTGTTTTCAGATCATACCCCTCAAGCAAATAGGATGAAGTATAATGAACAGAGTGCTATTCCCTTTAAGCTTACTATTTTAGATTTAATTGACTTTGAGACATTTAGGCTTAAGTTGGGGAACAACCCCCCTGGTGTTCTCTGTGTCCTTTTGTGCCTCTGGACTGGCAGGCTGCCCACAAGGCTTGGGGAGGGCCTGGCTGGGCTTCTTTCTCCACTGACTCAGGAAGCTGGAGTGGAGAGCAGGGATCACTGACTTTTACAAAGCGTGCATCTGTTTTTAACTTCTTAGAAAGCATGTTATGGAGTCTCATTGTTATCTAATAAAGTTCTGTAAGGCCTGTGGAAAGCCGTCCTACAGGAAACAGAAGTAAGAGAAAGAACTATTGAAAGGAAGAAGGTACTTAGTTATTTGTGGACAATATGTCTGTGTAGAAAACCTAAAAGAATCAACTAAAAGTATTTGAAATGATGAGTTTAGCAGAATAAACTGAAAGAATAAACAGATAAAATGGCCAAAAACATTTTAGGAAGTAGAAGTCATTAGAGGAATGAATTTAGCTCTGATGGTAAAAATGCTGTATGTAGCTCTATAATAAAATCATGTGTTTTGGGCACAAGGATAGATGCAGAGATCAGGGGTAAACGCCATTAAAGGTATAAGGAAAAAAGTCCTGTGTGATAAGAAAGTATTAGATACCAATAAAAAAGTATAGATTGTTTAATAAATAAGTGAGAGATATGCTTGGGAGAAAAACAGAACTTTAACCTCACATCATTTATCAAAATAATCCCATATAGATTTATGAATGAAAAATGAAACTATCATAAAATATAATCAAATGTAAGCAAATAACTGATTTTTAATTGGGGAAAGAAATTATAAGCTTAAAATAAAACCTAAAGACAAAGATTAATAAATTTTATTATAATATTTAATATATTAACTTTAAAACATAAAAATATAAATAAAATTTAAAAACTGATTTTAAAAACTTGGATAAAAGTGTTACATTGACTGGACAAAGATTGAAGATTTATTTAAATTGATTAGAAAACCAGCTCAACCCTGCTACCAATAAATGTATAAGGTTCATGACCTTAAAATTCCCAGAAAAGAAAATGAACATGGCACAGATTCAAACTCATTACTGATGAAATATACATCAAATGAGAACTATTTTTTTATATACCAGATTAGTAAAGATCTCTTGTGCCTTCTTAACAGGAGTAAAACTAATATTACTTTTTTGGGGGAAATAATTTATCAATACACATCAATAGCATCAAAATTGTTCATATTCTTTGACCCAAAAATTCTACTTCTAGGCATCTGTCTTAAAGACATAATCAAATGCAGACAAAGGCTTATGAACAGAGATACTCAATTAAGCATTATTCATAATAGGGAAAATAATGAAAACAACCTAAATGTCTATTATAGAGGGTTAAGTAAATATTGGCACATCCATGGGATGTAGCTATTAAAATTATTTTGAATAACTTTTTACATTGATGAATGCCCATGATAAAATAAGAAATAGTCAAAAGCAGGAAAAAAAACTGAAGTGTTTCCAATTGTATGCATATGAAGAGAAAAAAAGTGGAATGAGATAAAAATGTCATGAGTCATGTTTCCTAGTTTAAGGATTAGAAGTGATTTTGATTTTTTTAATATACTTTCCTATATTTTCCAAGTTTTGTATAATGAATGTAAATTATAGGCAGGAAAATGAAAGTTTTTAAAACAAATTGTGGTATATCCATGTAATGGAATACTACTTAGAAATAAAAACAAACGATCATTGATATGTATATCAACATGGTCGAGTCTTCAAAGTGTCATGCTAAAGAAGGCAGACACAAAAGGCTATGTAGTGCGTGATTCCATTGATACGACACTCTGGAAAAGGCACAACTAGGGAATGGAGGCCAGGGCATTGACTGCAAAAGGGTATGAAGGAACTTTTTGGGGTGATAGAAATTGTCTACATCTTGATTGTGGCCATGGTTACATGAGTGTATACATTCATCAAAACTCAGCATCCTTAAAGAGGGTGAATTTTATTTTGTGTAAACTATATCTCAATAAACCTGGTTTAAAAACAAAAAATTAATGGATGAGATTTAGGGCTGTTTTTGTAGCAGAAATAGGTTTGGGAGCATGATCACGCAGCTCTAGAAAGTTGTTGTCTTAAAAATGAGGTCCATAGACTTCAAGTACTGGACAGCTCTGTTACATGTAGTAATTTATGTGCCCAGCTTGCTAAGTTGGTTGTTATTACTAGACCTTTAATGATTAAAAAAGAAGACACCAAGTCCATTCTTGGGACTTAAAGGACTTTTGTTTTCAATTCCAAGCAATTTTTATTCAACATCATTCTTTAAGCCTTTTTTAATGTGTCCATGTATAATTTCTATGGTTGTTTTTTTAAAAATTGAGGTGAAATTCACATAACATAGGATTAATTAAGATATATTTTTCAGTGACATTTACTATATTAACACCACCTGTATTCAGTTCTGAAACACTTCCTTCAGCCCCTGAAACCACCAGTCTGCTTTCTGTCTCAAAGGATTTACATATTCTGGATATTTATATAAATGGAATCATATAATATATGACCTTTTGTGTCTGGCTTCTTTCATTAGCATAATGTTTTAAGCTTTATAAGAATATTTTGAGCTTTCAATCAGAAACATATCAGATTTAAAAATTAAATCAATTTGACTGGAATCTTGGCCTACCACATTAGCTCAGATTATTCTTGTTTGAAAAGATGCTTATAGCGTAGTGATATCTCATATTCATATAGTGGTTGCCTCTTACAGGATGGCTCTCAGAATTTACCTAATTTCACAGTCACAGCAACCCAATGAGGTAGAGGGCAAGTGTTAGAACCCCCACTGTCCAGTCCTTTCACACAACTCCCGACACTGTGACTTAGAATAAAGGTGCCTAACATCTCTTGCCTGCTTAGTCTGTGTCAGGCCCTGTCCTAGGCATTTTGCATTTATTTTCTCATTTAATCATCATGGCAAGGTATATACTCTTAACTGTCATCATTTCACAGATGAGAATTTTTAGGCACAGAAAAGTTAAGTAACTTTCCCAGGGCAATGTGATTAGTGAGGGATGGAACTGGGATCCAGACTCAGGCAGTCTTGGCTCCCGAGCCCACGTCCGTAGCCAGCACACACTCAGTTGCCCAGCGTCCATATGGCGACCTGCTGATGATCTGTGGCAGAGCTGGGGCTGGGAAGCAGCTCTTCCTAGACCCAGGCCGTGAGCCAAGCCACTGCTGCCCTGGGGGAGCACTTCCTGTGTATGCCTCCCTTCGACAAGCGGGAGGCAGGAACCTCAAACTTTTTCTGGCCGGTCTTCTACGAAACAATGCTGCTGAAGCTTTTGCAGTGGGCAGTGGTCCTCCTAGTTATGTCCTTTTATCTTTCAGGTGTTAGCTACTGGCGGGTGCCTCACGAGCTGATAGAATGCTGGACTCTGGAAGAACGGCCTTTGCTTGGAAGCCTGCGCCACATGGCCCCAGTTCGAAAGAGGTTGCCTGTTCTCTGTTGATCTTTTTGGTTTTTGTTTTTTAATCTGTGACCTATATTTTTACTGCCTTTATGGGGGGAATGAATAATGGTTCTTGACCTCACTGAGCTTATTAATCACCTAGGTGAATATCTGACTTACCGTCAAACTATAAATCTCGGTACATACAAAGTTACCAAAACCATGTAAAAATGGAAGTAATTCTTTAAAACTGAGTTATAAGCTGTATTCTTTTTGGAAGAGTATGATTTTAAAAATATTAGTGGACACAGTGGAAATGTCATGGTAAGTATTTTTCCCCACTAAAGTGAAATCCCAGGCTTTATTGGCAATAGTCAAAAAATGTATTAGGCTTAATATTTGAAATTTCCTGTGAGTTATTCTGAATTCCTTCCTCCTTCCTATTACCACAAGTAGCATTTTTATTTTGTAGCATTTTCTATGTTCTATGAAATTATTAGCATTAAATTCACTTCACATGTGTGTCTTTCACAGTGCTTTAAATACATTTAAAATGATATATTCCCCCTTTAGGCTTTTCACAGTGAGTGGCAAACTCAGTTCAGGAGTCTTCGAGGATTTGTCCAATACTACTCAGATTCAAAAAACATCGTTAAACTGTACCATGCGTTTGACCATTCTAGCAGTTTCCCAAAATGTGTTCCATAGAATGTTGATTTTACTGGGTGCCAAAGGTTGCATTACAGAATGACTGGGAAATATGAATTCAACAAAGCTGAACAGGTATCTTTACTATAGAATCTTTACTATAGAATCTTTAATTTGTTAATAGAGGCTTTAAAGCTTCAAGAGACGAATAAAATATGCAGTAGCATTTCTCACGTTTATTTGTGAAACCCTTCTTTCCTCAGTAAATCTCTTGAAACTGCTATTCTGGGAGAAAACAGCCTGGTTTTCCCAGAAACCAAGTTATTGGTTATCCTCTGGGTCACGTCAGGATTTTTGGAAACAGAGTGATATGTTGTAGAATTCTAGTGTGACACTCCTAAGTTTTTGTCCTTGATTATTTGTCCTTGACACTCACATTGTGTGTGAGTTTAAAAGAGTATATTCAGGTTGAAACAATTTTTTGTAAACTTGCTAATTTACCTACTGACCGTGATGGGAGATGAGAGTTGAGGTAGGTTGATACCTCTAAACCTCTTGACTCAAATTCTTGACAAAACCCTTTTTGTTCACCCTGAAGGTAAACTTCGGAGATGTCTTGATTAGTTACTAAACCTGTAAATGCTGATGAGGACCTGCTTCTGTGTTTACAGACGACTGACAGTGTTCAATGAAGAGGAAGAAGAAGGCGTGAACTGTAAGACTGGTCCTAAGCCAGTCCGATTCTTGGGTCCTTCCACCAGCACCCAAATTAAAGTCAAGAACTCGGCTTCGGTCAGGGTGTCTCCGGCCGCTGCTGCCCAGCCCTGGTCCCGGGCGCCGTTGAACCCGGCTGCGG